CCGGTTCTCCTTAGAGTTTCCAGATCTAACATTTGTTCGGTTACAGGTACTATGCTTTTAGTAGTAATGGCCCAATACTACCTTCCACACCTACCTGTACCCTCCCCAAGGCTCTACCTGATAACCCTAATTCATCCCAGAACAATACATATCTCACAGGCTACTTCATAACTCAAATCCTAGGCTATCCTAAGATTTGCTCCATCCACATCAAACCAAAACTCAGATCAATAATAACAGGTTGCCCTATGCATGCAAATTATACACAGAACAGGATCAAATAGACTTTCAAATAACATACTCTACCCTAGGAAGACAACCAAACAAGGAGCAGGAAATAAGGCCAAATCAATCATTCTAAGGCTATAGGATCCTAACCGTATACAATTTTTAAAGCATAAACATAGCAAGAATCCATCCGACTATCACAATCCAAATATCAGTATAGCATGGCTAACATATTAGGGAACCACTACTTGATGTAACAACCAGTTATTTCGGGTCTATAAAAGTCAAGGAAAGTAAAAAAAAGTCATTTGCTCCAACAAAAATCAAATAGTTAAAACAAAATAATATAATATATCCCACTTTATGAGTTTTCGGTTTTTGGAATCAAAAACCACTTGGACCGAAATCTCATCCTTAGGTCGAGAACCATGTTGGGCCGACAATACTTCTTAAGTGAGAACAATGCAAGACCGAGAACCTTCCTTGACCGAAGACCATGAGTTCTCGGTTGTGCTTTGGACCGAAATCAAGTGTTCTCGGTTTGGAGGATAAGTCGGGAACTCCTGGTCTAGGCGGTGGAAAATTATTCAAGATGATAAAATACACTTCCCTATGCACCTATCAAATATATTTTACCCCATATTTATATGCTAAACATAAATCAAGGTCCCATTTCTCATTTACATCTTCGAGAAGTCTTTCAATTCTCTCTCAAGAACCAAATTCATCCTCATACATCTTCAAGTTCATACTAGGGTATCTTCAAATCTTCATAAGAACATCATCAAATACTCGCAGAGCATCTTCAAACTTTCCCAGGAAAACAAAGTCCTTCAAGTTCATTCTTAAGAAGTAATTGTAAATTCCATATATAATCTAGTGTTTTATACAACACTTTAATTATTATTTCAACTAATATACACACAATATTGTGTGTTAATACTATTAGGATACGGCTATATACATGTGTTCTAACCCAATGATCATCGTTATCACTTCATTAACCAACCAAGAACACCCTCGATGTGAGTTCATACCCCTACAGTTTTCACGATTTTTATATGTTTTAGGGGGCCGGGGGATACAAGTAAAACACAAGATAAATTGTGTTAATATAAAAACTGTTACATTTATATTTTTCTTAAATATAAATATATGTATGGGTACAAATTTGATACAGTAAAACTTCAACCCTTGTGTAACATGTTGAGCAAAAAGGTATGATTATATAAATAAATATGTAATTATTTCAATTCATTTTATTATCACTGTAAATTGATAATAGTATACTAAGGATTCATTATTTCAACGAAACATTTTTATAAACTATAATAGGTATCGTTTATGGAACATACACACTATTTTACCCGTTTGGGGGCACAAAAAATAATTATTTAAAAGAGTAATTATTTTTCATACTATGTAAACATTTACATACAAACATTACAAGAAAAAGAAATTTCACTACACTATATATAATCCGTTAATATAGCTTTGTGAGACATTGTCTTCAAGTACTTACCTAAGTACCAACAAAAGTCCTGTATTATAACCAAAGTCACCTGGAGGGAGAGCGTGACACTTGTGTATAGATCTATACAGGACTGACAATCCCGCACCTAAGGTGCTTGCAACAGCTAGACCAGAAGGTCTACGGTGACAAATGTTATACCATTCCGACACCTGAAGAACGTTGTAACAAGCCATAAGTCATTTAGTATGGTTAGAAAAACTCACAGTCGGGTATTAACAATACGTTTGGTTTACATACATACCTTCAAATGGTTTTATTTAGATAAAACTAGACTTTTTTACAGTACAACTGGTAATTCCAAATATATACGTTCAAAGGATTTTACACTAATACAACTACAGTACACCATATATATATATATATATATATATATATATATATATATATATATATAGTACAATACTGCTTACATTTCGGTAAAACATACAATCAAATAGTTTTACAAAGATATAAAATTACATTACACCATTTCCAAGTACTATGATATTCATACATTTTTGGTTATAAGGTATTAAGACTACAAATCATTTTACAAGAAAATATTAGATTTTTTGGCAACACACTCATACAATTTACAAGGAAAAACAACAGATTTCTTATACAAATGCTTATGAACTCACCAACTTAATTGTTGACACTCTTTTCAAAACCACTTGTATTCTCTGAAATCAGTAGATAGGTACCAACTTAGGTTTGGCGAAGACGGAGCTTAGTATTGTTACGTCTTATATTTTTGTTGTATGTGTTTGGGGTAAAAAATGATTCAAATACCATGTAAAAACTTATTAATTATCAATATAATTTTTGTATGCTTTGATCTCTATTTTTCAACTTTTATGATACTATACATGACGTGATCCACCCGCGGACGTTTTCGCCGTTTACTCAGTTCAGGGTGTGACACTTGAGCTCACGCACATTCCACTCTCCCTTTTTCAGTTTTACGAGGTTTAACTTTGATCTTTGAAAACAATTTTACCATTTCCTTAGTTTGAGTCCTGACACACCTGAGAGTGTGCCCGAATCCCTCAAACCAAGGCTCTGATACCAACTTGTAACAACCCAAATTTCCAATAAAATTTATCATTTTAAATCACCAAAACATTTCCAAAAGATATAAATTTTCAACCACATTTGTTTTCTAAATCCATAACATCGGATAAATTATTCATAAAATTAGAGTGTCCCAAATGAAACGTCGGAGAGTGCATGTCGCGCCATCATGTCGGGCTCTTGCCCTTAGTTCCTAAAGTACATGAAACAACCAACAAACTATAAGCTATTGCTCAGTGAGCTCCCTAGAGCATACCCCACGCAATCTACATAATCACATAAACCATGTGCGCTATATCAGCTACATATACCATATAAGCCATGCATACAAACATATAAGGATGTCATGGAAACCCTCCAAGGTCTTACACTAGGTGCCACCAGAACCCCTACGTGGTCTAAACCCACTGTCATGGGAACCTCCACATGGTCTTAACTACCTGCCATGGGAACCCCCACATGGTCTTCACTAACTGTCTTGGGGGATGTTACAGCAACCCTCCAAGGTCTTAGACCAAATGTCATGTGAACCCCAACATGGTCTTAATCTACTGCCACAAGAACCCCCCGGAGTCTTCCATGAAAATGTCATACCAATATAACACATAATTAACTAACGATCCACATATCACATAATGGGCCAACCTTGGTGCCTTCGACCCATTGGTATGGTGAGAAGACGCACCTTTCAATAAATAACGAACCGGTAAAATCAAATCCCAACTCACAACTCCAAACTCAATCGCCTACAACCACCTTGCCACTAACTTCAACAAAACCCTGAATTAACAAAGATACCCTTAAAGTCAAACTTGGTCAACCCTGCTCCAAGTCAAGGTCAACAGTCTATGTTTACCCAACTCGTCGAGTGCATCTGGCAACTTGTCGAGTTCCTTTAGTGTTCAGAAAACCGGGAAAAACCCTAGCCAACTTGCCGAGTTATCTTATCAAATCGTCGAGTTCGCTCAGTATCCAGAAGTGGGAAAACCCCATCTAACTCGTCAAGTTATAAAGGCAACTCATCAAGTTCTCCCATTCTTAACATATTCAGCCCCTTCCAGTCAAAACTAAAGCCCCAAACTATAGATCTAGTCTCCTCGGGTTAATATGTCATGTAAAGTTGCTAAGTTTACATCCATGAAAGGCATCAAATGGCTAAAACACTCAAACAAAGCTTATCAAGGGAGTTAGAGCATGAAGGAGGGCCAAGAATTGATAACTTTAAGTCCACAAGGGCCATGAGATGTCCAGATTTGAAGCCATATCTTCATAACATGCTCAAATCCAAGAATGGTCCCAAATTAGGCTAATAATGGTCATAAACTTTCAATGGGAGAAATCTTGCCAAGAATAGTCACGGTATCGACTTTATACCTTAATATAGTTTCCATAACAGAGAAATCCCCATATCTAAAGCGTCTCTCTTCAACTATACACCACCAACTTCTACTTCTTCAAGAAACACCAAGGAATACACTCTTTTAACTCACACCCAATCAAAATTGGGAGATTAAGCACGGTTTAGGGTTTCTCTGGACTAAGAGGATGATGAGGGAGGCTAACAATGAGGCTTAAGGCCTTTAAATAAGGTGGAAACCCTGAAAATTAGGGTTTTTCCTTTCCAGCGTCTACGCGTCAAGTTGGGGCTCCCCAACTCGTTGAGTAGACCCTTAATCCAGCGTCCATAAAGATCCCTACACGACGAGTTGGAAATCCACAACTCCTTGAGTTCCAGTCCAAGCCCTAAAATGTTGAGAAATAAATAATACATGGATCAAGCGTTACACCACCACCATCCATAGATATTATTACTTCCGAACCAATTTAGACTTCTGCAATTCATAATGATACGACAATGTTAAGGGGTGATAATGAGTTTGTAGTTACTTAAAAAGATGAAGTAGAAATGCCTTGATATTTTCATGGTTTTACTAAACCAATTTTAGATCCATCTTTTCTTAACGATGAGAGTGGTATGGGTGAAGCTACAATACCTACTCCTATCTCGAAGAGGGAATACCGATTAATGAACACGAAGTTAAATGTCCTAGTTCGTACAACATACTCATTTTTTCCATCGAACTTTAGGATTATGATGACGGTTCACGGATCAGCTGTGAAGACTATTTTTTCCTAGAGTAAATGGTTGTTTGTTGCTCAAGAGAAGTTGGTAAGTGACACATCTATGAAGGTTGATGTTGCTCTTTCTAAGACCACTAAAGCATTGTCTAAAATGGATATTGTTCTCTCTGAAGTTCAAACTATTAAAGTTTCAACTGTATCTGAGAACACTGTTCATCATCATACAATTACTAGAGAAACAAATGCTCTTGTGGGTCATTGTGATATAGAAGGAATAGCAGACATTATTGCAGAAAAGGAGAATAAGATAACATATATGAGGTAAATGAAGAGAGATTTTGAGAAGAACGATGAGGAGTTGTTGCTTTTCAAAGGAAGGAATTTTGAAATTAATCAATGATTGGTTAGCATAGTAGAAAAAAAAAGATGCTCCAAATGTTGATTATATGCCTCAATTGCTTGATGCAAAGTTACAACCTGTCATTCGCAATTGCCTTCTTCTGCACGTGTTACAAGTACCAGTGAAACTTCATAAAAAGGGGGAGATGGTGTTGCTTAAGTAAATATTCGTAATCCATATGTTGTTCCACAACAAGTAAAAAAGGCTGATGCTCCGAAAATTACGATAACTGAATGATTATTGAAGAGACACTTAAAAGAAACAAATATCGAGGTTCCTAAAGTTATTTTAGGAACTAGTTCTGTGAATATCATTTCACCATCTAAAGTTGATCCAAATGATGAGGATGTTGAGAAAGAAGCGAAATTGAAGAAAGATGAGGTGTTAGAAAGATTAAAATAGATTTAGATTGAATTAGATAGACAAGAGGCTGAGAAGAGAGAAAAGGAAGCCAAATAAGCAACTTTGAAAGCCTTATGGACAGAATGGACGATTAAGAGAATTCAATACAAGGCTATCAATAATGTTGAGAAGTTTTGTTTTTATCTGAGGTGATCTTTTGTGATTGAGAACACAAGTGATTGTCATTTGGAATTTCAAGTGAGAACTAGAGCAATTTCTATTTAGAAGTTTTCAAAACATAGTTTGAGTTCGTTTGTCAAAAACTATTGCCAATAAGAAACTTTTCAAGTTTTATGTTACACATTCAAAGCTACAATATGAAGTTTGGAGTCTAAAGAAGATATTTGTTGTGTAAAGGGTTGAAAAAGCAATATGGATGGGTATAAGAACTACAAGTTTAATGTGCTTAGGGGATTAAGTAATGAAGAATTTGAGTTCACATTTGCTGAGCTTTTAATTATGAATCCCTATGATTAGATTTTGTTGTTTGGTCCTTTAAAGAAGGATGAATCGAGATTCACATCGCAACTCTAGCATTTGAAGCATATGACACAATCTTATCACATGGAGTTATGCATGATGGATGTGGAAATAGTTGGCGCCTTATTGAAAAGCACAAGTGTGAAACCTTGTGATCAACTAGATCAACTTGATGAAATTCAAGATGGATTTATTCAAAAGGAGCCACAGGGGATCGTGTACAAGGTTCATGAAAATCGCATAGTGAAGAATTACACGATGTTTCTCCAAGAAAAAACATTACTTTAAATCTACTACAGTGACTGAAATCCTTACTAAAGCTGATATTTGCAAGATGAACTCTAAAGATGATCTAAAGTGTGTCTAAGATATGCTTCGCTAGTGGATGACAGTTCGTATCATAGTTCTTGGAGTGATTCCTGAAGTATTTGAAGAGGGAAGATGAAGACGACTTTCACAACTCAACATAAAACATGATATTTTTGGGCCCGCTGAATAAATAGTGTTGTATTTGAGTTCTTATGAGAAAGGGATTTCTTAGTTTATATGTTTTATTCTTCACTTATATAATCGAGATGCTATGTTTGGTCTTGTAGGTTTTGTGTTCGTGGATTTTGTCTACGCTTCACAGCTTTAGTCAATTTGTCTTGACATACTATATTATCATAGGTGTCGTAACCTCATTGTTCATGTCCTAACCGACTTCCTTGTATGTCCTATATAAGGGTAGTTAGTTAGAGAGAGAGAGAGAGAAAGAGAGAGAGAGAGAGAGAGAGAGAGAGAGAGAGTATCTTTTGAAAGCTTTCTTACATCATTTTAATTGAGTGCTTTTACTCTCTAATGCATATCATATATTATTTACCTTGAAGTGTTCTTACAGTTTCGTCTTTGTAATTATGATTTCAGTCTTGTAGAATCTCATCGGTCCTATTAATAATTTTCATTAATGATAGTACATTTCACTTTTTATTACATATAAGAACCTTACAAAACGATAAAATAACATTACAAAGCTATTACATTGTAAATAAAATCTTCTTAATAAAAAACGACAGAATAACATTACAAAGCTATAACATCTAGAAGTTGTAAGGAATATATAACTTGTTTCCAGTCAATAAAATCTCCTCAAATTCTAACAATATTTATAATACGATCCATTTATACATGAAGCCTATCAATCTCAACATCCGCACCACAAATCCGTTGTTCCATCTCTTTAAGTTTTTTATTCCTATCAACTATCTTGCCTTCCATTTTCTTTCACATGTGTTGATAGACGGTCTTAATGATAATTAAATATCAACTCATTTCTAAGTCCTAATGGTTGGCATCTTCAACTTTAGTCATCGATTCAAATATGACATCGGGCATCTTAGTTGGTAGTGGTTCATTTGGGTCTTTATCAAATGAGTTAATATCATAACAAACATAATTCTACTAGATTTGATAAAGAGGGTCGTATGAGTGGGTGCCGGTTCGGTTCCGGTCAAAGTAGTCAAAACTGATTCACACCCAAACCGGTTCAGCCCCAAAAATATCCGAACATATATAAACCGGTTCGGTTTAATAGAAACCAGTTAAGCAAAAACCGGTTCAAAAACAGGTTCAAAAACCGGCTCAAAAACGGTTCGATGCAAATAAGCTTTTCTTTTCTTTTTTTTTTTTTTTTGGGCTTTTTTTTTTTTTTTTGGGCTAATAAGTTCAAAACCGAATCAAAAAACCGGTTCAACACCGGATAAAAAAACCGGTTCTTATTAAACCGGTTCTAAACCGGTCCTAACGATCAAAATAGCGAATTGGTCCGGTCCGACGGTTCGGTTCATAGGGGGTTCGATTCAAGGCTGAACCGGTTCGGTGGTAAACCGGTTTCCGGTTCACTGACCGGTTCGGTCTGTGAACCGGTTTTTTTGGGCATGTCTAAGTGGGTGGGACAGCTTAGACGATGACACAGGGCCTCCCAAATTTTAGGGTCCAATTTTATTTATATACTCATATTATAAGGAAAAAAAGTGTTTGGTATTAATTCGTCGCACACAGTGACAAAAAAGGAAAAACAAAAACTTGGCGTAGTAAAGGAAGAAATTCCAAACGATTCCTCACGAATCTAAAAATTCACTTATTTTCTTACTTAAAAAATTGTTGTTAATAGTTTTTTTTTTTTTTTTTTTTTTTTTTTTTTTTTGTCAATGGCCTCAAATGGGTTTAAATAGACGCTATGTACAAATAATCTATTTTAAAAAAAAAAAAAAAATACTGAAATGATTCATGTATGATAGTTACTCCCAACTAACGACAAAAGAACGGGGTATTAACTTTAAACAAAACATGTTTTTAGCAATTGATGATGATTGTCTCTACAAAGCACTTGATTCTTAAAAATCAAATCATTCGGTCGGGTTAAGGACTATGAATTAAGCTTATAATACATGTCACTTCAACCTTTTTTTCCCTATAATTAATATTAAATTTTCAATGTAAAAGTTTTATATAGGATTTTTTATATAGCATATTTTTGACAAAATGAACTTTAATTGAAGTTATAACTTTGATTTTTGTAGAATTTTTGTTTATTAAAAATAGTTATTCGTTCTGAAAATATGGAAAATTACATAAAAAGACATGAAAATAATATATGCATGGATTTTTAATCGAAAACCTACTAATTTTGTATTAATAAGAAAGGACTTAAAAAAAACAGTCATTTGAAAGATCGGTGCAACACTCTAAGACAAAACATATTACACTGAGATATCAATCTATTAAGGATCACGTTGAAGATGGAAACGTTGAAATAAACTTCGTTAGATCATCTGATCAACTAACAGATATCTTTGCGAAAGTCTTACCTAAACCAACTTTCAATAGAATTCTACAATGCTTAGGAATGATCGCAGCGGACTCAGTTCTGAAATCCCTCTCGTAATCGGAATTTACTATTCATGATTCGAATGGTTTCGAGCTTCGAATGATCCGAAATTCATTTCCAAATACCGATTGGTTCCGAGCTTCGCAAGTGTTCAGAATCTATTGTTCATTAAATGGTTTCGGAATGAGTTGTATCATTTGTACACTATGTTTCTTCCGATTGATTCCGAGCTTCGGAACACTTCGGAAGTCACTGTTCATTTTTGCTTCTAAATTTATTTTCTTTACGTTTATTATTATTATTATTATTATTATTATTATTATTATTATTATTATTATTATTTTCTGTTTTTCTTTTATTTGTTTTCAGAAAATTTAAAAAACAAAAATATTTTCTTTATTTTTGTTTTATCTTTTTCAAAAAAATTCACAAATCACAAAAATATTTTCTATATTTCGGTTTTATCTTTTTCAGAAATTTCAAAAATCACAAAAACATTTTCTTTATTTCTATTTTTCTTTTCAAAAAGCCAAAAATACCAAAAATACTTTTCTTTTGAAAGCTAACCTTACTTTCAGGAACATATTCATCATAACCTCAATTCAGAACGATGGTGTAGCTATATAATTCTGAATATGTGCACTAATTAAGTGTCCCTAGAAGCATGTTGTCTCAAGTCTCTAAGACTCTATGTTTGAAGCCTTAATGAAACTTTCAGTCTGATCGTTTCTTCCCAATCAGGCTAATAAATCACATTAGTCATTGAACTACCTTACTCTTCTCAAAATGAGTTAAGAGTTGAAAAGCTTTGTCATTCGTTTATAGCATAGGTACACCTTCTTCGGAACCAATCTCAAATTTCTCCATCACCTTCACATTCATAATCGTAACCCTTGAGACTCTCAGCAATTACCACTAGGGTTATGGTTACACAACATCTGTGTTGATGATCTTGAAACCGTTATTACCACGATTATGAGTGAAAACCAAATCCAAAATCAACTTCTGAATTGACGGTGAACAATAAAATGTTCAAGATATTTTCACCAATTAATTGATGACTAACAACCTTATAGTTTGTACCTTTTACACATTGGAATCTCAATTTTTATTTTTGAGTGATCTTAATGAAATATTCTCGACCCAAGACATTTCTTCCAAATAGATCCAATTTTTCTTTTTCTTGAGATTTCCATAATATCCAGTCACTTATATTATATTCCAACCATACTTGTTCTTATGGTTACACGGGTCAAATGAGTACTTCTCTCTGATTTTCGAACTTATTTCAAGTTTCGGAATTTGATTGAAGCTTAAGCCACCTATGCAGATTACTTAAAAGAAGCCTTTCACTATTTCTTAACAAATAGATGATCGTAATACAACAGGATGCCACATAAGCACTTTTCGAATCTATCTTAATTTAGAATGAAGAGATCGTTGCGCGGGATCCATATGATTTTATGTCAATTTTATTTTGACATCACAGAATCCCACAAATTTAATTTGTTTTACTTCTTTATCTTTGGCACACTCTTGCATAAAATCTATATGATTTTTCAAAAGTCTAGTTTTAATTTTAAATGGTTACTTTCATTTGGTAACATGTGATGGTGACTTGGCTAATAATTACGAATGGATGAAAGCTGGAACGATGGTTACTTGGAGATAAGGTTCAAATCCGACGGGTCTTTTCAAATTCCTGATATCACGTCTATAAGTTACCATGTCGTCTGATACATACAGTTGTCACGTCTTCCAAGGCTGATTTATCGAGATATGGAAATGTCTATGCGTGATTTTCTCTCACCTATCATGATGTGTAAAAGGGTTTTTGACGGTTTATTCAAAAACTCTCATTGCAACAATGGTCAATTCGTCTGACACTGCTTAATTTGCTGATCAATGCGCCTTCGTTATGATGTTGAATGTAAAATCACACCAGAATCTTACCCTTGATCTTGACTCTTCTCAATACACTGAAGCCCTACGTCTAAGGATTGAGTGCATGCGTTTCTCGCCACTAGCTCAAGCTTTGACCGTGGCAGAATGTGTTCCCTTGGTTCATCTTTCCAAGGCGTATTTCGCCACCAACTACAGTCAAACTGATGGGGTTATCACATTTGAGGTCGCTCCACACAAGACTTCGAATTCAAAAGCTCGTTTCTGCAGATGCTTAAGGTTTACTGCTAAAGATGGGGTTGTCGATCCAGACTTGATTTCTTCTTCTGCACTTATCGATATGTTCTACCAGATGGGATATATTGGGAATATCTCTCTTTTTTCGAAGTTTAGGAAGACCAATCTACCCCCAATGTGGAATGAGTTGTTCACTCTCTTTTTCAAAAGTTTATCTGGGAGGGTTTTCGGGTCTGATAGTGCAAGTATTTTATTTTGCACTATAATCTATGGTCTATATACTAGAGTAAACTTGGATTATGGGGATATTCTCTAGACACAACTTATTCAAAGCAAAATCTCAACTACTCGACATTCCAAGATCTCTTGTGCTCGGTTCTGGTCCATTATCGTCAAACAAGCCCTAACTCACTTCCAGGTTCCATTGAACGATGACTCAGTCATGGATACAATTCCGTTTGTGCAAACATCATCTTTTATGGTATCTGATGCAAGCAAATTCAGCTTCGTCGGTTCTATTCCAGAAGTGATGTTGTTGAATGTTCCGACAAACAATGTTATTATTAATGAGTATCGTAAACAGTCATCCTCTGGAGTTCGACCCATGTCAGAAGACCTCATGAAAGCTCTTGAATAAGGGACCAAGGATAAAAGGGGGGGAGAGAAAACCAATAGATGCTCCTTTGGAAATAGTGCCAAAATCGAAGAAGATGAAGAAGCAAGCTCGTAAACCGAAATCACCTTCTTTGATTGCTCAGGAGTCTTCGGATGCAAGGACTCATTCGAATGTTCGAAAGAATGATCCAGTTCAGAATGAAGCGGAGGATACAACAACTACATCAGAACCAATGCTCCCAGAAGCCACTCCAACTGAATCACTTCCGAAGGTATTATCTCCGATAACCACTTCTCTTCCTTTAAAAGGTGACTTCTTTTAGGTGCTTACTCCACTGTCTTCTCCTGTTATCACAACTATTCTGATCACCACTTCATCTCTAATCACTACCACTATTCCAATCACCATTTCTCCAATATAAAATATTTATGTGGGTGTTTCTTAACCACAAATTTTTGTTCCCCTATTCAATCTATTCTATACAGATTCCACAGCTACAACAACAACCTTTCTTAGTAATTCAATTTCTACTGTCAACGTATTTGATACGGGGGAAAATGTCGATTTCGGTGTTACTACGGGTCCAAGCACTTCTACAGCTTCGCCTTTACGAGATGACGATCCAGATCTCATCTTTGGTGATGATCAAGAAGCTTTTCAAGGTTTCAAATTCAGCCCCTTTACTATCCATCAAGCAAGCGATGATGATGATGCCCCAACGACTAAAGGGAAGTTCAAATAGCTTAGTGCTAAGTTGGATTCTATTTTGGAATCATCTGTCACTTCTTCCAACTATGAGTTCTTACTGAAGTCACACAGAACCACAGTTGAGATGCTTACCAAAGAGAACGCAAAAGTCCTTGTTGAAGCTACGAAGACTATTAAAGATTCAGAGTCAACCATTTCAGACACGACCGTAAAAGTCAAAAAAACTATGTGGAGATATGATACAGTTCATGGCTAACTTCAAGAAGTCTTTTAATGAAAACACCACATCAGTCAAGAAAGTCATTACAGGTCTTGGCTCTACACTGCAGGCTGAGAAGGAAGCCCTTTCGTGTGCTCGCTCTGTAATTCAAGTTGAAATTTTTGAGGTCAACATCGCTATTGAGAATAAGATTGAGAAACTACAGTATGATATTGCAGCAGAAAACAAGCTCGTGGATAAATTAGCTCAAAAGACTAAAAAAAGCTAAGGTCCTTTCGGTAAAGTTAAATTATGCCAACAAGCATGTGGATGACCAGTAATCTAAGAAGGTTGTGGTTAAAAGTTGTGTTTCAGAGGTTAATAATTATCTACAACGACTGGTAGAGACACGTGATTCATTGCTCACTATCTCGGTACGACAACATCTTATTGATAAACTCAAGCCGGTCTTTTCAATGATCAACAAGATTGAAGGTGTTTCAGTGAGTGATACTCTTCTTAAACAAGGGGGGACAAAAAGTTAAATAAAAAGAAGAACCTCAACCCCATGTTAAGAAGCCCACTAATTAACAATATAAGGAAAAACCAAAATTAGTTCTTAAGGTTAATGAAGCTTCTAGATCTAAAGGCAAAGAGAAAATAATTAATGATAAAGAAGAAGATGAAATTTTATCTGAAGGTGAAAAGCTCATAAGAAAGGAATGTGATGTTGAGCTTGATAATCTCTTGCGAGTTCGCAAAGAGTTAAAAGATAAAGAGAAGGAAGTTGAATTGTGAAGGTCATGCTTGCAACTCAGAAGACCCTTTTTCCTCCGTGTTCTATAGAAAGGTTTCAGAAAGGGGCAGTTGATGAACCAAGTACCCACTGGTTGGAGCCTTCAGTATCGTTCGATCTAGACAACACTGTTGAATCTCAACTCGACTTTTCCGATTACTCCTAGGGCATTTCTATTCAGATGTTTTCAGAAGATTGAGATAGTGCCACTTTCTGATTCTGATGTTAATCATATGCTCTTCTCTTTCTATCTCAAGTATGGAAAGCCTCAATTTCAAGTTTGGAGTTTACAAAATATTGTCGCAATGAAGGTTTGTGCTCCTTTTCCAGCTGACGACTTCATCAATATGAATTTTATAGGGTTCGGAGGAACAAAACATACTGAATTTGAGTTCACTCTTGCTGATCTACCCAGCATGAATCCACATGATTGGATCTGTTTGTTAATGATTTTGTCAAAAGATGAATAGAAGTTTGAACCAATCATAGCTCATCTGAAGAGGATGTTGGTTTTCTATATCCATGAGTTCGCAAAAATAGATGTAGAAATCGCATCTGTACTAAAAAAAGAAGTTGATTCAGAAACCTGAGGATGAAACGAAGGATTTGAACAAGATGAAGTTGGGTAAAATAAGAAAGAAAATTTGGAGTGTGGTATACCAAAGGAGAATTGATTAAATTGTTCATAAGTGTATGTTTTTCTTGCTGGACAAAAACTTACACTCAACCTCGACTCTATCTTACATCATGGGACTGACTGACATGATCATGTGGATTAGAAATGCTTTTCCGATATGATAAAGTGGTACATCACAGTCAGAAACACCCTTTTCAATTTGATGCTGATACTTTTGAAGATTCAGAAGAGGCAACTACAATGAAGAATCTCCTTCGCAAATTGACACAAAGGGGGAGACTGTTGGGTTGTAAAAGTGTTGTGTCAAATTGTATGGTACTAGAATAGTATTATTTTAATAGGTTGGTCCTATCCATCTGTGTTTAAGGTTTGCTAGGGTTAGACTATTTAATGTGATTGCATGTATCCTTCTAGGGTTAACGATGGTATTTTTCCTGCCTAGCTTTTATAGAAAAGTTCAAATTGAACTCTTCTAAAGCTATTCAATCTAAGCATTCGGCACTAGTTGATCTTCATTGTTCTTGTTGATTATTCACTAACGTTTATAGAATCTGTCAATCTAAGTTTTTATTGTTTCTACACTCGCAGACCTAAATAGATCAATACATCCTACTATTGTGCCGCCTAATTAAAAGTCGAAGAAGAAAACCACCACACATGCCATAGCTGAAAACCCCGCATGTCGATGCGCCAGCAAGAAATTCTTACAAAAACCCAACAGACAAATCTAAACCAACCCTCACACCAACTAAGCTGACTGAAAATCTATAGATTTTATTGGTCTGAGACCTTCTCAGCCATACACTATGCTACTGAACATTAAAACACGGAACTCTTGGTTGACCATCGTCGTTCTAACCCCGCATATAAATTCACCAACACAGAAAAACATAGCGATCACATACTAAACTAGACCATGCTCCTACTCTGATCTAACAGGCTTGCTCTTCTATCCACTGACAACGCTCGGGATCCCCCCCTGATCTGTTAACGAGCAACAGCAGTCAAGCTTACCCCCAATCTACTAATCAAGAACAACACTTGTGCTTACCCTTAATTCCTTACCCAATAAAAACAACCGTAGCCTAACATAAGCACACCTGAATCCACAAGACTTAACTAATCGTACCAGGCCTTTGGGCCGTGGCTCGGTCTTCCAGGTCCCAATCAAACAAGAACAAACAAGGAAGTCCTCCTCACAACCCTCAACATGGGTTCCTAACAACATAGAGCCCTAAAGTACAAAGCACCATGCGAATCGCTAACACAATCAAAACGAAGACAAATCGGAATGGAATTAAAAAGATGACGATGACCCTAACGTGAAAATCAGAAAATTGAACAATTGCGTGACAGCCATGAACTATAGAAATCTGGCTAAGAACTGATCGTTGGCATTAGGTCTTCTGACTGCAATTTCTCCACTCCTTCCCCCCCCACCCCCCCACTTGGAATCTGCTAGACTCTGACAGCTCTAAAATTTTAGGCCAACTTGAACTCCACTACTTGATCCCACCCCTATCATCCAGATACACAAGAGGATCTGAACCCTTACATAACATTCAAGAGCTCCAACACACATGCACAAACTCCAAGGTCAACAAACAATCCAGTCATTGATAAAAGATCAAAATAAAACCATAACTAATTTATAATAATCCTATTCAATCATTTATCCAAGATTACAACTAAACATCAAAACATAAACATAAAATACAAATGAATACCAATACTATAGTAACCGACTAAGTCAAAGGACTGATAACTTGAACCTCGGCCCCCGAAACTCCAGCTGACCCATGACGTCCGTCGGGTAACTGCCAAGTTAGAGGTCCAGGGTCCAGCACCTCGTCGAAAATGAGAAATCGATAACAAGCTCTAATGTGGCCCTACTGTCCATAATAGAAACAAACTCGCGTGCTCTACCTGCAATCCTTATCAAAATGACCCTCCTCTCCACACTTGTGACATACAAAATATCGGCACCTTCCATTGTGAAATTCTTGCAGTTGACACACTTAAAACTCCACCTCGCATATGGTCTTAAACTTGAGTTGGTGGACTTGAACCACTTGGCCGCTGGCTGATACTGCCCTGAAGTTGTCCTCTCCTCCTTCCTCTTGATTTCCGACTCAATATCCCTCCTCTTAGCGTTTGACTGCAACTCTATCAAGGTATGATACGTCTGAGTCGATACAAAGTATCAAATCTCCTTCTTGAGCATACTCAAGTATTAGGTCATCTACACCTACTCTAAAGCAGAAAACTCTGGGCAAAAGAGGGCTCTCTTTGTAAACGTCATGGCGATCTCCGTTACCGACTCATTTGTCTGCTTGAGCAAAATGTACTTTTATGTCAGTAGCTCTCGCTCCACAAAAGGAACATACTTCACATGGAGCATCTCCAAAAAGTGCTCCCAAGTAACTTCGACTCACTTTACATGAAAAAATCCTTAGGTCACAAACACCCACAAATCCTTCCCACCACAGCGAAGAAGATTCGGTGCAAATTTCAATTTCTGGTTCTCGGGACACGAACACGTATAGAAATATCCATGCACATCAGATATCCATCTCAAAATGATAATCGAGTCCCTACCACCTCAAAACTCTAAAGGCTTCATATTATTGAACTCCTAGTACTACATCGCCCTACCTCTCTGAAAACCTACAATGGTGACAGTTGTAGGAGATGCGACAGTAGCATCCTGTGTGACGGCAATACAGCGCCGATTAAACTCCTCAATCAACGGGGTCTTAACCGACCCAAACAACTCTAGAATCGCCTCCCTGATCGCCACGTCCACTTCGGAAACAATGATACAACATATATCCTCATCACATGGACCCGTCCTCTCAGTGCTACAAACACCCAATATTGAACCTTTGATAGCTACTATACTGAAATATACAACGGAAAAAGTTCAAACATCAAAAAAAGGGATCAACACACCAGGCCTCCCTCCTATAAGTTCCTTAGTAGCCTCGAGATTCCTTATGGCTCTTATACAGATCCTGTGCTTTCAATAGTACGGCCGTATACTACCTTCCACACCTATCTGTATGGCCATATACTGTTGGATTAGTGTCTAAGCCTGTAACTATATTTAGTAAGTACTTGACCCAGTTGTACATGGTCCTTTTGGGTTGCCTTCACTAAAGCAACATGATAGGATGATTTATTAAGAAAGAGGTTATTATGATTTATTAATATGTTATATGAATAATATATTAATGGAGAAATCACATAATTAAATTAATATTAGACAATAATTAATTAAGAAATTAATTATGTGGTTAAAAGACATTAATTTAATATCAGGGACTTAAACTGTTAAATGTGTGATAATTGAGTATTGGGCTAAGGAGCCTCTTGGACTAGGCATGGACGAAATTAGGATGTGTTCATCCCTAACTTCAGGCCTAAGGCCCTATTCCAAAAGCTTCCTTGGATAGCTTAAGGACTAAGTTGTCCAATAGGGTTTTTTACTGAAACCCTAACAACTCCCAGTATTAATAGGACCCCTAGGCTACAAAAATCGGATACCCTAACCCTAAGAGTGATAGATCTGAAATCAAGAAGCCTCCAACCTCTCTCCAAGATCATTCTTTTGCTATTGGTGTTTGTAAGCCATTAGAGGAGTGACACTTATGACTCTAAGCTTCAATGACAAGAAGATTCAAGCAAGCAACAAGAGGTAATGATCTAGATCTAATTTTTTTCCTATAATTTTAAATTATTATTATTAGATCTAGGGTTAGAAAGTCTTGGTTGGATGCATGTACAATTAGAGAAACCTAGATCCAAGCATTAGGGTTTGCATGAGCACATATGATGTTCTTTTGGCTCAACCCCATCAGTGGTCTTAAAAGTTTGATCGGTTTCAATTGTATTTGATGCTAATATTATCATTCATTGCTTGATATGAAAATCGTTTTCTGAAAATACCCAGCTCACGACGTGACTTATTGAGTTCACGCCGTGGGCCCAGTCTTTCTGACAGACTCTACGAGTGTAGTAGGCTACTCGGCGAGTTTGCGGATCAGATGATTCAAAACTCGGTTTTTTGACTAATTTTGAGTTTGGATAATTACCAAAAATGTTTTTGAATAATAAAATCCGATTTTTATATATATGTTATGATGATCCTTACCAAATTAAAAGATAATTACCATTTATTTGAATAATAAATTCATTATATGATAATCTTTAATTATTTAATTTATTTGGTGAATTATTAAATTAATTGTTTAATTTAAAATTATTTGCTATTTGATCCTTTGTGTTTTGAAAAATTCAAAACTTGCCCTCAAGTTTTAAATTTAAATTTTTGCCTAAAAAGTTTGTTTTGAATTATTTAAATTTCAAACCCTAGAATTTTACAAGTTTAAAATTCACTCTATACTATTATATTATTACAAGATTAATATATATATATATATATATATATATATATATATATATATATATATATATATATATATATTTATGTATAACTTAAAATGCTAGTCTTACCGTTAGTAGGTCTCATTCACGAAGTCGATCTATAAAGGGGGGGGGGGGGGGGGGGGGAAGGGGCGGGGGGATAAGGTTATGGCCTATAAAATGATCGTTTAATGGGTGTCCACTCTCACCCACAACTTCCTTGATTGGTGGAGGGTCGTTAGCCAAACGGATAGGATAGGGAAAACCTTTCCTCATTAAAAGTATAATGAATTTATAAAAGTAACTAAATGTTTTACAAATTCCCAATCTTAGTTACTTTAGGCAAAAGTGAACTTGATGCAATTCCATGAAATTACACTTTGTACCCATGCTAAGACGTTGGTGGAG